GTATTTGATTATTTATTATTATTACGATTTAGACATAGTTGACCAAAAAAAAGGAAAACATACAGGCTAAAATTACTGAAAAAGCTGCCACTCCAAACATATTCATGTAACTGTCCGTTGTAAGCTTGAAATCCGCTGGCGCTCGTTCGTTGTAAAAATTAACCACATGTTTCAACAAAAACGGCACGTAAACGTTCAAAACCTACAAAAAAACCATTAATATATGTGAGAAATAAAAACGCAAGAATGAAATTTAACACAGAAACAAAAGCCTTTACAACATGAGAAACCACCTGCCCCATGCTCCTCTCAGTCGGTGTAAGGGAGCAGAGCGGAAAAAAAAAATATTGCCTGTCGAATTAATTATATTCGCTTCCTCAACAATTTCTAGAAAGTTCCGACGAGTTCCCCAATCTACAAGAACTCGTAAAAAGCAGACTTCTGTTAGATCCTTACGGAATGCTTTTTCGCAATCGACCAAAACAACCAAAAGAAACTAATACTCTTTTGGTGCCCAAGTAGTTGGTTTAAAGCAAAAATGTGGTCCATCGTGTTAATAGTTACATTTTGTTTCGGCGGCTGCAATTCAACGAGCAGACCTGCTAGTACAGTCCTCACGAGTAGCAAGAGTAAAAAAAGTCGGCTGGAAGTTCATCAATTCGTCCTAATCATTTTTGTAGTACAGAACACCGGTTTTCGGCTTTTCCGATTGCCTAGTGACCCAAAAAATGACAAAAATTTAAAAAATTTTGAAATAGATGAACCAAGAAAATGGAAGGATTGAACCGAAAGTTAGGCATTAAAAAACATTTTAAACTAAAAAAAACCAAAAAAATAAAATGCAATTTTGAGTTATGAAAAACAAAAGCAAGTGAAAATGCAATTTAACAAGCAAATTAACGCATAAAAATGGAAATAGCAACGCGCACCAGACTAGCCAGTGCGATCATGCGTTTTGTGCAGTTTAGCCCATCGAACGACTGCTTCTTAATGATTTTCACTGCTTTGTACTTTAGTCTACGCAAAAATAGTTCAAACATTGGAAAACAGTTAAAAATTTCACGCACCAGCGCACGAAAGCTGAATTCGAAACCTTGAAGGGCGAATATCTCTCCGTGATTCCGGAGTTAATAGTTTACCCGCCAAAACTTTCACGAGGCCGTAGGTGACACTAAGGAACGCGGGAACGCTGAATTTGAATGGACAAGATTGAGCGTGAGCAGGGGGTCATTACCCTAAAATTTCAGACTCCTAGACTCCGCGACTCCCGAAATATTAATTTACCCGTAAAAAAACTTTCACGGGGCCGTAAGTGTTACCCGCGGGTTAGGGAAGGCTGAATTTGAATGGGCAAGATTGAGCGTGGGCAGGAGGTCAGTACCCTAAAATTTCAGCCTCCCAGACTCCGTGGTTACTGAGATATTAATTTAAGCGTAAAAAACTTTCACGGGGCCGTACGAGTTACCCGCGGGTACGGGAAGGCTGAATTTAAATTTGC